ATATAGGCCCCCCCACCCCCCCCCAAACGTTGCAGGGCCAATTTAACCAAAGGGCTTTTATTTGCACAAACTTGGTAGACACCCATAAGAAGATGTTTCATGCTTAACATCTAAGCTCTAGCTCATTGGGCTATTTAAAAGAAGATTTTTTTTAAGTTTTTACTATGACACCCCTGGGGCCGGGCCAGTTATGACCCCAGGGTTTTTATTTGAACAAACTTTGTAGACACTTTCTAGAATATGTCTCATGCTTAATATCTAAACTCTAGCTATTTGGGTTTTTTCAAAGAAGATTTTAAGTTTTTGCTATACACATATAAGGAAAATCAATGACCCCGGGGCGGGGCCAATTTTGACCCCAGGTCTTTTATTTGAACAAACTTTGTAGACACTCACTAAAAGATGTTTCATGCTTAATATCTTAACTCTAGCTATTTGGGTTTTTTCAAAAAAGATTTTTTAAGTTTTTGCTATACACATATAAGGAAAATCAATGACCCCCGGGGCGGGCCAATTTTGACCCCAGGGCTTTCATTTGAACAAACTTGGTAGACACCTATTAGAACATGTTTGATGCTAAATATCTTAACCATAGCTCTTTGAGTTCTTTAAAAGAAGATTTTTTAAGTTTTTACTATATGCATATATAGGGAAAATCAATGACCCCCCGGGGCGGGGTCAATTTTGACCCAAGGGCTTTTATTTGAACAAACTTGGTAGACACTTATTAGAACATGTTTAATGCTAAATATCTTAGCTCTAACTCTTTTTGTTCTTTAAAAGAAGATTTTTTAAGTTTTTACTATATGCATATAGGGAAAATCAATGACCCCCTGGGGCGGGGCCAATTTTGACCCCAGGGCTTTTCTTTGAACAAACTTGGTAGACACCTATTAGAACATGTTTGATGCTCAATATCTTAGCCATAGCTCTTTGAGTTCTTTAAAAGAAGATTTTTTAAGTTTTTACTATATGCATATAGGGAAAATCAATGACCCCCCGGGCAGGGCCAATTTTGACCCCAGGGCTTTTATTTGAACAAACTTGGTAGACACTCACTAGAAGATGTTTCATGCCAAATATCTAAGCTCTAGCTCTTATGGTTTTTTTAAAGAAGATATTTAAAGTTTTTTCTTTCGGTTGCCATGGCAACCAGAGTTCTGCATGGAATTAAATTCTTTGAACAATTTTTAAAGGTGACCACCAAAGGAACATTCCTGTGAAGTTTGGATGAAATTGGCCTTGTGGTTTATGAGGAGATGTCATTTAAAGTAAAAGTTTACGGACGACGGACGACGGACGAAAAGCGATCACAAAAGCTCACCCTGTCACTTTGTGACAGGTGAGCTAAAAATAAACATACTACTTTACTGGTCTGCAAAATATACTCGTGTTGTGTGAACATGTAGTAAACTTATTAAAAAATACCTGAATTTCTTTGTATAACATCAGATCCCTATACATCCACTCTGAAGAAAACTGTTTAGTAAACAAAAAACTTCTTAACATGGAATAAAACAATCAAAGGAATAATAACATAAACTTTTTGAACAATAACTACTAAAACACTTCACCTACACATTAATAGCAGTTACTACATCATTAGTGTCCAACTTTGTAATCCAATGAAAACGCTGTATTTCTTAAAAATTATGTGTTATCGCTCCCGTCAAAGATTCAAATTTTTGAAGAAAAGCACGGATGAACATTAACATATATATAGCAGTTACTATGACTTAAAGAGACTTGCATACAAATTTTGACTGTTGAATTTATATGAACATATTTAAAGTATTGACGACAGTTAATTTGCTGTTTTATACTGGATACTGGTACAGCCTTTCCCATACAATTGCCATTCTATTAAATATGATTCCTACATGAATAACTTTTAAGAAAATAAAAATAACAGAATAGGTTAACAGAAATACCCAAACTGATATGCTAGATTGCTCTGCATCAAAGTTTAAATGTCTTCATCTTGGGTATCGACGTCCATGTGTAGGTTTGTCGAAGGTTCAGGGTCAGGATGTAGTTTTGTGATTTGGCCATCCTTGAATCTTGAATAGACTAACATCAATTACATTGGTCTAAACAGATTTCATGAAATTCCATTAATTTCTTTTAACATAACTACTTGGATTAAAAATGTGGTTAGTTTAAATACCTTCTGTAATTCATGTTCAAGGTATAGAAATAAAAGAAAAATTAATATCTGAAATAAGCAGCCGTCCAGTTAGCACAATAGGTAGAGTGTTGGACTGTGAATCAAGTGACCTGGGTTCGATTACAGGACGTTGCAGGTCAATTTCGTTGTAATTGATCATGAAGTCCTTTCTACGGTCATTCCACGGCACTGTACCTCTGCTCTGGCATGTACAGAAGTTTCAGTTCCTTGCAAAAGTGAAAGCAACTAGTACTGGTAAACTGCTTGATAGTCTGCTCAGGAATGATGCGGTGGTTGTGGTGCTCTGGTGAATTCAATGTAGCTTACTGCCGTGATCCGGAGTGAAAACTACCAACACCAACACCATCTGAAATCAGTAGCACAGCTTAGTAAGATATCAATTTTGATGATTTAAATCAATTATTTTTGTTTTAATAATTTGTCTGTATCTAGTAAGATGTACTTATAAATTAATGTAATTATTACGTATTGTACTGGAAAGTACTGCTGAATTCAAATTTTCTCTTGCAACCTGCAGCCAACACAGTGCTTGATAAAATGATATCAGAGTAATATAATTATATAGGACATATTTCGCATGAATTTGCTACTGTAATGGGTTTAAAAATATGAGCAAAATCATAACAAATCCCAAGCATTGAAGACATTTAGGAATTCATAATATGTTCCAATTCTCAGACCCCTTACTAAATAATTTGAGTGGTCAAGCGTTATTGTACCAGCAAAACTAATCAAGTATTGGCTCTGACATTTCTCTTAAAAATAAAATGAAAAACATGACTACAATCCCTTCAGTAACAAATTGACGAAGGTATCTTCTGAGAGACCTCATGAGCAGCCAAGACTAGTATAAACCCATATTCAGCAGCTGATGACCAACATAGTGTTAGAATTTTGCACATTTGCTACAGATACCTATATAAACTGTAAAATATTTAATTCATATAGGGATTATATAAACTGAACATAACTGGACATAGTATTTGTCAATATTTGAACATAACTAACAGTTTTGCAAAATTTTATCATTATTTTTGTCATTGCAATGAGACTTAAATAAAGTAAAACTTCATTTTATATACCTTAAAAAATATCGATATAATATTCTTTAACTGGTTTGTTATTGCGAATACTAAAATATTATTTTTTTCCGTTTGAGTGAGATATGGAATATATTTTCACTAAACAAATAAATTTCCATATATTTTCACAAGCTGGAATTGTGAATGAAATATATATCACTTCATCATGTTCAGTGAAAATATATTCCATATTTCGTCTTCAAAAAAAGGTTTTGCCAAAAAACACATACTTGGGTAAGCAGTTTTTTAAATTGTACCCGGGAGTAAAAATGGTTATTTTAAAAGGGAAAGTGACTCGCTTTAAATTTAAACAACAAAAAAATTTTTAAAAAACCTCTTTTAAAATGTCCGAAAAAAACATGACCAGATAATTTCCGATAATGAAATGAAAAGCTGCAGCTACTGACTGTAACAGATTCAAGCTAAAAGCATGGTTAAAAAAGTGTATCTTTGGGGAGCTTTAAACATTCTTCACACCAACATCAACCATGTATTCTCTATATTCACAGTAACAAAACAGCTATTACTTTATATATTTATCACAATATTCCAAGTCATTTTTAGTACATTATTGCAGGTCCAATGTACATGTAAATATAAAGCACAGTGTCTAAATGAGAAATATCTTATTTCAAATTGAATGGCGAGTCAGTTCTTTTATCTTTCAGAATAGTAGTTACAGCTGCACATGGTAAACAAACAAACCTTAAACTTAATAAAATAACAAAGTGAGAAACTAATACAACAACAATCTAGAAGTTTAAAATTGTCATACCTGACAAAACAGGAATAACCAAATTGAACAGTTAAGTATATTATAATGATTAAATTGATATTTCCAAAAGAATAAGACAATTGTTAACAACAAAACGTTTAAATCCAAACTGGGATTTGAACCCAGGCCTTCTGTTACAAAGTAACAGCTGTTCTACCATTAAACTATCTGGATGCAAATTTGTTGCTTGCTGTAACAATCCACATTATTTTTTTTTAAATACTCTTCAACCAGTAACTCTCTAACATTGAAAGTATTAACTGTGTAAAGAGTTTCTTTTTTAGGTTAATGACAAGTCACTTGTGTGTAAAGTTACAATGTACATTATTGGAACATGAAATGTAATGGAGAGTCATTTGCACATATGAAAATTTCTTAAACAAACAACAGTCTAGTATTTTTCATAATGAATGCATAATACAGCAAAATTACTTTATTCTATTGATAAAAACATTCTTCGCAGATTATATGGCCCTTTATAAAGAGAATAATGTGCTATTTTCTTTTGACATCAATTTTATCAATTGATGTTAATATGGGCTGGAAACACCCATTGCTTTTCACAGAGAAAAAAATATTTCCGAAAACAATTGGGATTCACAATAATTTTGACAAGCAAAATGTTTTATAAATTGTAACAAGAGCTGTCATCCAAGTAACGAATGCCCCCGATAAGGTTTCTTAAGCATGCAGGTATTATGAAAAGAAAACAGAATGAAAGTAACTAATTGCTTAATATTGATCTTAATCTCTAATTGTGAAATATAAGTGTGACCTTGACCTTGTTTCCTGGACAAGACAGAATGAGATAGAAATTTGTGCAAAGTTATTTCAAAATCCCTCACTGCATGACAAAGTTACAGTCTGGACATGATTGTTGTGTAAGTGGGGACACACAGACAAACAGACAGACATGAGCCTTAGCCGTGACACATTGTCTTGATGTGGTAGACATTTGTGCCATTTTATTTTAAAATGTTTCCATGCGCGACAAAGTTACTGTACAGACACGAGTTACTTCACACTCTTCTCGAAAGAATGAGTAATGTCAAACTATAAGTGTGACCTTGACCTTGAAGGTAGGGTCATGGGTTTTAAGATGTCGTCCCTATGTGGTAGACATATATGCCTAGTTATATTAAAATCCTTCAATGCATGACAAAGTTACAGTTCAGACACGATTGTGTGTACCTATAAACTCTAATTGTGATAAAATGAAACAAAACAAAATGGTAGAATGACCTTGACCTTTGAGATAGGGACATGGTTATTGGATGCGACACATCATCTTGATGTGGTAGACATTTATGCCAAGTTATTCTAAAATCCTTCAATGCACGACAAAGTTATAGTCCGGACACAAATGTGTGTACCTGTAAACTCTAATTGTGATAAAGTGAAACACCAGTGTTAGTGTGACCTTGACCTTCGAGGTGGGTACGTGATTACTGAACGCGACACATCGTCTTCTGGTGGTTAACATATGTGCCAAGTTATTTCAAAATCCCTCAATGTATGACAAAGTTACAGTCCTGACACGAATGAAATGGGGACGGACAGACGGTGCGATTTTAATATGCCGCCCTTTTGGGGCATAAAATCTGCTATGTTGCAGCATGTATTATTTAACTTGTGCAACAAAGTCTTTATAGTTCTAGGTAAACATCTTGTACAAAAAACTTTCTTGTTCACTGTTTTGAAAGACTTTTTGCCAGTGCTTTCAGGATAGATTTTTTCACTAGCAATAACAATCATCTGCCTATTGCTCTCCTCTGGAGCCTCCATACGCCATACTGGCCTGTTCAGTATATGAACAAGAAACCACACTGGTAGTTCGCCACTCCTCTTCCTTATAGATGTCTCTACAACTCCACTATCTGATGGTTAGGGTGATGCTGTCAGTGACCTTGCTGGGGTTGGAGGTGATGCTGGTCTTTAATGACGGCTACGGCGTTCTTACCCGCAATGAAGTTGGTTGCAGTGGTGGCTTACTTTTGCTTACTTACACTGTCTGCTTTGTTTCTATTTAAAGATAAATACTTATAGTCTAACAATTGCAGTTTTACCACAACATATAAATGACTTATCACAAATGCTTTACAATAAATAAATTATATCCCAAATTAAATTAAATGCTTTAGTTTTTATTACACTGTCTTTTCTATTTTCAATTTCCAGCACTTTTTTTTTTACTTCATAACAAAAATCCGTTGTTCCTTGAAGTAACCAATTCCTAAGAAATGTAATTCAATTGATGGAACCTTACTCCGGTCTTTTATTTTTATATTCATAGATTTAACCACAAACATTGACATGTGCTTTTTTTGTTATCAAGTATGTTGTGGTGAAATTTTTATTGTATCAACTTATCTGATAATTAGTATTAGACAGGTCAGGGATCTATTCATTTTCCTTTAATGAGTGGGGGAGGAAAGACAATCCATATATAGAGATATTGGATGAGTGTAGGTTTAATACTAAATTTATTGAACGAGTTGAATAAAATCATATTATGGGAGCCTCTGGCGGGTATAATATTGTTTTATTTAACGAGTTCAATAAATTGAGTATTGAATCTCAACGAATATAATATTCTATTTATATCATGTATGTAAAATAAGAACAGTAAACTGTTAAAATGAGTCATTTTTCATCGACGCGCCTATAGTCTCAGTCTAATGCAAACATAAGCGCGCTTCAACGCTATGTTTATATATAGCGCAAATGACGTCACTCCAAAGTGTTATAACACTAGTGTAATATCATTTTAATTAAATCATAAAATGGCTTTATTCACTCCTGTGCCGCGGTTTATGTGATAAAAACATTTGCTGATATTTACTTTACCTTATGAAATGAAAGAAGTATTTATATTACACATCTGGCAATATCATGGAAACTGCAAGACATGTGAATGAAACCACTAAGGGAAAATATGATAAATAAATGTGATATACCACACTAGGTGCCTTAATGCTGCTGTTAATTATAAAATGATAGGTACCAGATCATAGAGTAACAACACCTCTAAATGTAATTTAATATGTATTCTTTTCCAAGATAATTAGTAATTTTCCTAAAATTTACCCCAAGTATAGGTAAGAGTGCATATTGGGTGTTCTTCGTAAATAAGAAAGCTAAAAAGGAGCGGAGCTTGCGAAGCAACTGTAGCTTTCTCATTTACGAAGAACATCCAATATGCGCTCTAACCGGCTTGGTGCTCCGCCCACTTGCGTTTTATAATATAAAACGTCCAGTTTATATAAAATCTGTTCTATTAAGATTTGTAACCTGAAAATTTAAAAAATCCTCGTCGGTGATTGGCTTAAAAATATTGGTGAGCACTAAGATAAGAGTTGTAAATAGTAGTGGTCAATAGAAAGCTCACCTCCAACATTTTCTGCAGAGCCAATCACTCTTACAGGTCTTACTGCAGTCACTTGCTAAAACCTCATTCATGGTATCAAAGTATTGCCAAGATTGACGTCCACGCCCACTTTTACGGTTAACATCAGTTATAACCTTGTGCCTGTACAAAAGATAATTGAAAAACGATGCTCTTTGCAGATACTTTGGAAAACAATTTTATCAAGTACATAACAGTTCTGTATGGCAGATATAATGTATTCAAGGTTTCTCATAAAATAATATGCCAAATATGAGATAATGAATCAGTCACTTCAACAAAGTTTTATAGATTTCATTTTTAATAATAGTTTATTTAATCCAAGGGCAAGGAAAACTCTAAGACATTGATTTAAGTAGCCATGTCTCTCTCAATAGAGTTTCCAGACAGCCTGAGGGATAAGAATTCTGTCATTTCTGGAAAATTTGATTACTATTTGGGAATGCCAATTGGAATCTCTCCATTGAGATGCAACATACATAAATTTATTGAACAGCTAAAGCTGATATTCATATAGTACAAATAACAACATACTTGTGTTTCAAGGCACGCCACTTGCTGTCACAGTGGTGCAGCTGAAAATGATGTGTTTTTTTGGCTATACCAGCTGCAATGTTAATCCAAAATCCTTTCGTTTGTAAATACTATTGCTGAACTTACTTTTATGCTCAGCATACAAACTAATTAGGAGCAGGACAGCCTCATGACTCCACACAACAGTACCTATATACAAAAATATATATACTTATGGGCTATTTTCAAAATAATGGCTAGTAGAGGTTTTCTTTAAATAAAAGAAGTATTCAACAGTGATTTATAACTGTTTTTTTCTCCAAACATGTTAAGCTATGTTATTAAGAAGTGTGTGAAGTTTTGTGGACTTTGCTTCAGATATAAAAAAGTTATGCTGAAAAAACAGGCCAAAAATGTCAGGAGTGTAACAAAATAGCGTGACACTTTGCAAAATTTGCCATTTTCAAAACACTTCTAAGAAAAACATTGACAATGCTTATAATTATAACTGTTTTTAAGATAAAGTAAAATATATGTCCTTCAAGTAAGTATATAACTTTATAATGAATTACTTATCAGAACATAAGAAATAAGTTTTTTTATAAATAAGGGGCTAAAATATTTTTCACTTATTTTTTAAAAAAAAAATCTGTTTTGGTGTACACTTTTAATAGCGCTTATAAAATTTTCAGTTTTTGATATTCAAAATTATGATATATATCACATAACAACAGATAGGTAAAATACTTTTGATAAATTACTACTATTTAAAATACAGTTTTCTCATAAATGTTTGGATTTATTAAAAAAAAATAGAATAAACTATCTTAAAACATATCTTTATAAGATCTTCTTTTTGACAGGTTTTGCAGGTAGATGGGGATGTTCAGCTTAGATTCTTAGAGATTCTCGGGGGATCTACACATGGCCCAAGGCAGACGACATATCATGGCAGTCTCCAGATGACATATTACGAAAATTATCACATCTTACATTATTGGTTAAAAATCATGTTTGATATTACAGAACTTGAATTGTCGGAAAAACAGCTAACAGCTTGAGATGCACTTTCTGTCAGGAGTGTCAGGAGTGTAACAGTATATGGAACCTATTTGTAACACATTTTATCATGTTTATTATACAATCTAGTCATAAGACCAATTTCAGGAGATCATATTTGAACTGTTTCAGTGTTATATTGTTTATTATGACAGACACTAATTTTTTCTTCATGTTGTGAGCCACTAGTATACATAATCATTTGTGATGGTACGGATTTGGGTGACTATTAAAAGTATGTCTAAAATTGGAGACATCTTTTTCAAATTTGTTCAGGAATGTTTAAATGTCCATTAGTTACAATATTTAAACAGTTTAGTTAATTGATATTGTTCATTTGTTTTCAGAATCTTGTTAATGATAAGCAGCTATACATGTCAGGAGTGTAACAATTTGTTACAAAAATGCTCATGTTTTCATGCTGATCCTGTGAAATAAAATCATTATTTCTGCCATCATTTATTTTACTGTGTTGCTTGTTACTGTCCAAAGTCCAAGAATAGATCTATGTTTATAATAATGATGAACCATTTTATCAGCAAATAAAACTTTCATTTTGTAAATTTGAATTTCAATGGGGGAAAATGCAAAGAAAATCCAATTTGAAAAATATTGTATATTTATCGAGCTCTTTAACACTTTTTTTTAGTATGACAACATTACAGCTATGAAAAATAGGCTTTGAAGCTATGCTTATTTTTTTTTTTTGCAAAATAATAGACTTTGAAAAAGATCATGTATTGTTGTTCTTTTTTGCCTATACAGCTTAATAAAATCTTGATAAGAATTTTAATATTCATTTTTAGCTTTACACCTAGTTGAATTTGTACACTGTAATGGTTGGTCTTGGAAAGAAAACAAACATTTTTGTACTTCATGAAGTTTTCAATTCTAACATTTTTTCAACTTTTCTAACCATAATTTTGAAATTAGCCCTTAAAAAATGAAGTCTTTTATATAAAGAATTTTACAAAGTTGGTCAGTGCTCTCCATAAGCACCGGCGGTCGGCGAAATCGCCGACTACTGCACAGTCTACCGCCGGCTACATTTGCCAAACCATAAAATAAAAAATCTCAAAAAAATCCCTCGTGGTTTTCTATTTTTCCTGGGTTTTCTGGACTGAATTACTGTTGGAAAAAGGCGTAAAATGAAACAAACAAAACAATTTTTTTCCTGGTGGTTCGCCGAATCGTAAACAAAAACAATATGTGGAATCCCAAGCATGTTATGCGCATACAGGTAGCGCATCTATTTTTATCGTCCTATAATATTGGCGCGCACTGATCGGATATTTTTTACTGTTTCCGTCTTGTTTCGGGATTAACAATCGGAACCAATGCGGTAACAGAAATCAACTCGTCTCTTTCCGTAAATTTACGTTATCCAATGATATTTCGTTAATTGTATGTCACGGGTACACATGCCGTAACGGGTGTGGGAATTAAGGTCAAAACTGTCAAAATGTCAGGCCCTCCGAAGAAGAAAATAAAGACAATCGGAGGACAACAAACGCTTCATACGCTTTGGAGAAAAGAACAGGGTACTTTGATGACCTTTTTTCTAGGTTTACATCATTTGTTGACAAAGTAAAGTCAGTTTGACCTACCAGGCTACGTCATTGAATGTTCGGTTAGAGCGAAATTTAAATTGTAACAATGTTTTTCTAAATAATTTAATTGATTTGAACATGATTTGATATTTATTTCACGAATAAAAATATCTTTATGCCAGTTGGTAGCTTGTTTAAAATCTATGCCTGACTACTGTATAGTAAGGAAAATACAGGTAGATCTCTATGTACAGCTATAGGCTTTAATATAAACTAGAAATGTGTCCATAGGACACGGGTGCCCCCAACGCGCCACTGTTCTGTCAATCTTTTTACTAAGTCAAGAGAAATAAATCCACAAGCGAAACCCCAGGTGCAAATCTAAAATATGCTGAGCACCCTGCCCATAAGGTTTAATGACTATGTCAAATCCAAGTTGAAAATTGCAAAAATTTTCTTAGTGAAGGGCAATAACTCTAAAAATACTAAATAAATCCAGACAAAAATACCTGGCGCACAACTGCACATGCTGATCAATATTTCTGTAAAGTTACATGACTCTAGGTCAAATACTTTTTGAGTTACGTGCGACACATGTTGAAAATTGCCAAATTTTACTAAGTCAAGGGCAATAACTTTGAAAATACTAAAAATATCCACATGAAAATACCCAGGTGCACAACTACATATGCTGATCAACATTCCTGTAAAGTTTCATGACTCTAAGTAAAATTCTTTTCGAGTTACGTGCAACACAAGTTGAAAATTGCAAAATTTTACTAAGTCAAGGGCAATGACTCTGAAAATACTAAAAATATCCAGACGAAAATACCCAGGTGCACAACTACACATGCTGATCAACATTCCTGTAAAGTTTCATGACTCTAGGTCAAATATTTTTTGAGTTACATGCGACACAAGGCTGAAAATTGCAAAATTTTACTAAGTCAAGGGCAATAACTCTGAAAATACTTAAAATATCCAGACGAAAATACCCAGGTGCACATTTTCACATGCTGATCAACATTCCTGTAAAGTTTCATGACTCTAGGTCAAAAACTTTTTGAGTTACATGCGACACAAAAGTGAACGGACGGACAGAAGGACGGACGGAAGGACGGACGGACAAGGGTAAATCTAAATGCCCCCCACTAACGTGGGGGCACAAAAATAAAATATGAAATATTTCTTTCAAAACTTATTGCCCATCCCCTTTTTTTTCATAATATTGTAGAATTGTTATTTTTTGCAAAAGTATTAGATCATTTTTAAAATATTTGTACAATCCTTTTAATACATTAAATATACTAGAATTAAACATAAAAGATACCGGTATAGACTCTATAGATAATGTATAGAATTAATCTTATTAAAATATCACAGCCATGTAAAAGATCCAAAGTCATAACAGATCACTAAAAGAATTATAATATTAGAAAATATTATGCATAGTAAGACAAATATATTTTAAATCTAAGCAGCCTGGTCTTATTTCAACTTTACTAAAATTCAATTCCTGTATATTTGATATTTTTATATAAAGTCAATATGCTGCTGTATGGAAACTTATATTACATGTATTCTAATTCTTTTAACAGACAACCCTACCACAACCCTCTCGAAACGTTGAATGCAATGTTGAGGTTGAGACACAGAAAGCTGTATCTGAAGCAGATGACTATCAAAATGCCCTTCATGCATTAGCCATGGATGACTCAAATTCTGGCCTCGAATCAGGCTCTGATGATTGTTTTAAGTTGTTAACTATAAAATGTTCATTAAACTGAGTTAAAATTTATTTGATTTTTCTGTTCAATTTCAGTGTCAGAGCAAACCTTCCCAATAAAAAAAACCAGGTCAGACAGTACCTAAAAAATGTACCAGAATGCACCAAAATGCAGGATTTAGCATCTTTAAAAGCAAAATTTTCCGGGGGAGGCCCCCCGTACCCCCCCAGCGGGAGGGTAAACTCCTCCCGCACTCTCCCCCGTCTCGCCACTGCGCGGCTCGCGTTAACGCATTCAACTTTCGTCCGTTACTTTTATTTGGCCACTGGCTACTTTACAACATATGGAGAGCACTGGTTGGTACGCCAAAAAGGGTTTACCTGATTATGATAATTCAAAATATTATATTAAACATTAAATTGAGTTTAAGAAAAGTAATCATATAACAAAGTACAAATTACTTAAATAATGAACAGGCTTATAGCAATTAAACTCAATGCTTTAACGTTTTTTATAAAGATTCTAGAGGATGGGAGTTAAAAAAGACATATTATGTCCGTAGTATGTGTACATTTCTAGCATCTTACATGTAAAGATGGAAATTGTGTTTAGATTTATCGTAGGGCTGTCATTTAATATCATGATATCAATGTATCATCAGTATAAACCATTCGATATCAATATCAATACACAATTTTTACACTTAATACACTCTAAAACCTATTTCTTCTTGTCTTATGAAATATCTTTCCATTCTGTTTACATAGAGATTCTACTTATTTTCATTCTTCATGGATAGCTTAGTTCAATTTTCATTTGCAGCAAGAAAAACAATTATAGAAAGCAAACTCTCTTTATGTTAATCTAAAACTAG